AAAAAAGCAGGTCCTCTTAGTCACCAGATTGCCCTTCCTGTTTTAATAATTTTCATTATTTGTTGTAATTGCCGTCTTTTAGCCCATATATCTACTAGAACTCATTCTTATCCAGGCCTTTCTGAACACCTCCGGCGTGTTGAATTCAGTCGGCCAGATAAAAACTGCGGCGTCAGCCAATTTAAAAAATTACAATGAAGGTAATTCTGTAGGCAACACCAAAACAGGCGACTTTGGAACAGGGCCAAAAAACGCTAGCGTATACTCCCATTGAGTGGACTTGTATGTCTGGGAGCATGCAGACGGGCTATTCATACCTATAAAAGTGTTTTCTGCATCAGCCAATCGGTTGCATTCCTGTACTTTTTCAGGAGCAGGAAGTTCGGTTTTATTGGAAGCGTGTAAGTTAGGATAGCTTGGGAGATGGATGCATTAGGGCGTTATTCGGCAGTTTTCCGAGGTGCTGAGAAACACAGATGGCACGCAACAACCTACTTGCAATGAAAAGGGGATAAAAATGAACTGTCACTTTGGACATTACTAGCCTATACACTCTCTAGCCTCTGGCATTCAGGTGACCCGCAGTCAAGATGGCTTAGTCATACTGAGTATTAGGCAGCTGAATCATATAGGTGAGGATTATTTTTAAGGGTATGGCTAGATCTTGCCTGATATAGCCAATCGCAATAATGTCACGGACTAAGCTTCTTACGTGTAACGCTGCGCTGTAGCAAATTTTGTAAGTTCAGTTAATTCTATTGGTCAGCAATGGAGACTAAATACCGAAGTCCGAGAACCACATCTATGTCTTGACTAAGTGTGTCGAGCCAGGTTTTAAATTGACCCAGTCTCTAGGAAGTCTTCAAGTGGGTAACGGTGCCGAATTGAGGGCCATAACACTGAGTTCTGGAGGTGGACGACGAAGAAGGTGCCTAAACCAGATCAACAGTCTATGCTTGTGATCTTGCCGCAGCGGGTGCGGACTATCTCATTTGAAACAAAATCGGTGGACTGCACTCGAAGGATGGTTCTTAAGCATTTTTGATCAGATATATTCAGTTTTTGCTTATCTTTAACAGACGAGTGTCGCCACGTCGGGGTCACCAATTTGTAGAGATCCAAGCCATGAATCTGCTCAGAGCACTACAATTATCACGCTCAGTCCCGTACAGAAGGAAGAGGGGTAAGACCGTTAGGAGTTGTTTATTGTGAACAGGAAGTCAGTGGTGGTCTGAAGCCCCGACGCGCGACAGGCTCCGGTCCCTGCGCGCGCATCTATCTGTTAGCGTGGTGTTGGCGTGAATGCATAAACGTCACGTGAGAGCGAGTCACTGGCCGCTTGATCAACTGCTTGGCCCATATCAGTCTACGGCACTTGTGATTGGCTGTCCCAGTAGCAGACAGGGGAGCGAAGTCACCTGACGGTTTGCGGACTTGGTGCCGGCGCTACAGAAAGACCAGTATTCACAACAATACAGAAGGACAGATCAGACGAATGCACAGTACACGAGAATCTTTGTGGGGATGGAGCTGTTGCTTCGGACCCATAGACACTTTCTGAGGCTTGAGAAAATCTGACAAGCAGCATAGCTTCGGGATAAAACGTCGTTCTTACTCTGTCCTTTCGGCAGGAGCTTCGCCCCGAGGTATTTGAAACTTTATAGCAAGCGTACACAGCAGGATTTATGTGTACGAGCAAATTTCGGGGCAGTTTTTCAACTGCTTCATGCAAAGACAGGAAGCAGTCGAAAAGCTGTCTCGAAATTTGTTTGTACAAATAAGCCCTGCTGTGTACACTTCCTTTAAATCCGTACCTGGGAAAAAGTGCTTTGTATTTGAAACTGTCTACTTCTTAAAGTTGGTAGTCATTAATCCCTTGGGGGTGCCTACTCCAGCTCGAAAACAATTTGGTCGACTCAGCGTTTATGGATACGCCGATCAACGTAGCGATCATGCTCACCTCTGAGACCACAAACTGTAGATCACCAAAGCTTGACACTAGCAGTAAGATGTCCTCAGCGTAGTCGAGATCACTCATTAGGCTTTCGGGTGCGAAATCCACACCGTCAAAGCCGTGTAGGATCCTTCCGAGAGTCCAGACAATGGCGCAGTTTAACAGAATTGCCGATAGAATACAATCTTGTCGAACACCAGGCCGATTATCGAACAGTTAGGAAAGATTGATATGGACGAGAACTCGCGCAGCGTTTGAGTCATAGAGGTCTTGATCATGGCAATAATTTTGGTCGGTAATCCATCTAGTTCCATTATTCGCCACGGGGATTCACAAGGGATGGAGTCGAACGCAGCGGCGAAGTCAATAAAGCAGACGACTGTCGGTTGCTGGTAGCCATGGTGGAGATCCTGAGTGCGACCCACTGTGAATATCTGGTCAACGCGTTCACTCCCAGCTTGGAATACAGCTTGGTTGGGACTCATTCTAAAGTTACATATAGACTGGAATCGTCTGAGAAGGACAATATTGAAGATCGTCGCAGCAGTGTCGATGAGGCGTGTGCCGCGGTAGTTCTAGCAATTTGTCTATACGGTCTTCGAAGCGTTTATGGAAAAGGCGACCGATTTAGCATCCTCATTCACCCGCTACACTAGCTACTGGCTACCCGGTGCCTCCGCAGTTGACGGATGATGGAAGGGCTCTCAGCGAAGCTTAGCCGCAAATAAGCAGTCGCGTATCAGCAACGGTAGTGTTAGTCAGGGTGCAAAAGACTGAAGTCAGATACATTGAGAGTTCGACCGTCGATTTCGACAAGGTCCACAGCAGGGTGGTGCGGGGACGGTTACTTGCGTTGCATCTACCTCACTGTCTGTTCCACTACCCTGCCTGGGTACACCAAAAGCCTTATAAAAAGCTGCAAAGCCATATGACGACAGATAGGCAAGACATCACCAGTCATCTTCGTTAATTTCGAGCCCTATAATCAGCTGCCTAACTTCAGACTGCAGTAAATAATGTAAAGAATACGGAATTATTTGATTTTT